CTCTTCCAGCCTTCCTCTAATTTCCCCAGGGAACATGCAGAGTGTCGCTTTGGGAAATTAACTCGGCCGGGGTTTGGGGGCTGGGAGCCCTATCTTGTGCGTGTATGGGGGTGGGGGGTTGCTGAGGAGCCGCCACACAGGTCTCCCTGAGGCCTGCGAAGTGAAACGGGGGGAGCCAGGGGGATTAACGGCGGTGGGAGAGGGGCTATGTGTGCTGTCTGCCAAGGTGCGCCCGTGTGGCCCTCCGGCGGGCTGTGCGGTGGCATGTGACTCCACTGAGTAGGTGTCTTTGTATGTCTGAAATCCAGCGAGTGTGTGGGACTGCCCGTGTCAGTTACATGTGTGCATGTGGAGACGTAGATGTTCTGGAGCCATGTTGTCGCTTTGTGAGTGCTGAGTGGTGCTGCTGCGCTCCCGTGCTGTCTCAAGAGTGTGTACCAGAATGGCCCAACGCTGGGCCATGTGTCCCCCATCGCGTGGGTGCTCCTCTCTAGCTGTGTCTGTGCATCGCTGTCGGCCGGTGTCGGTGTGTGTGCCTGTGCTGAGTAAATGAGGCCACAGGGCCGCTTAGCAGAAGACCTGGGGCCCAGGTCACATATTCTCCTGGAAAAGGGATCATAGAAGGACAGTGACCAGAAGGACAGAACAGGGGAGGAGAGGGCCCGGCCCCTTGAACTTTGGTCTCTGGTATTCTCCCTCCCTCCCTCCATCAGCCCAGATGGGAAAGTCAGGCCAGGGCCATACAGACTTGGTGCTGGGGCCCCTAGAAAAGTTGACCAGCTCCTTGCTCTCCTGGCCCAAGATGTTGGGAAAAGCCCACGAGGTGGTGGAAATGCCATACTGACCTTGTGGCACAGAAATGAAGACCTCATGGCGGGTGGAAGGGCAACCTTGCTAGAGTGAAGGTGAAGTGTTCTGAGCTACCCTTAAAGGGAAAAGGGAATTGGGTGCCCCCCAGGCCAGCAGTCGTTCTGCACCAAGCCCCTCTCCTATCCCCTCTCCTGTTCCAGAAAGGACCCCCTCTCCCAGGGTGATCCACTCACACAGGAGTCTTTCATTCACAGGAATCAGATACACAGCATGGCACACCAACACCAGATCAGATCACACAAGGACACCTACCGTGTTACACTGTGCCTACCAAGAAGTGGGTGGGGAGAGGACTGGAATCTGAATTGGGAGGCTAGTGTAGTGTCCAGAAGGGACTCACATGGGCATCTCCCGCTGCGTATCAGAATAGGACATCAACCTATGGCTGCTAGGATCTTGGGGTGATGGAGAGGGGCCGGCTGGTGGGAGGGTCTACGAGACAGGTCCCTCCCTCTTCTCCATTCCTGTCCCACCCCAGTCACAGACCTTGTTTGTTGCTCTCTCCTTGTCTCCCATGCCTGCTGCTCTTCCCTTCCTTGTTTTCTCTCCTTCTTCACCTACATTTCCACTGGAAATGGCCACCTCCACTCTTCCACTACACCCATGCGTACACCACGGGAGACAGGGAGGAGGGAACTACTTGAACTGTTTTGGGGTGGGGAGGGCAGAAAGTGGGAGGGGTGCTGGGAATGTGCTAAGGTGCTCTCCGTCTCCAGTAGTGTTTGGCCAAGTAGGGGCCTGAGGATTAGGGGGAGACAGACCTAGAGAAACAAAGACCTTAGAAGCTGAAGGGGAAGCTGGGAGGGATGCCCTGGAGAGAGTCCTCAGGAAAAGGCCCCAGAGGTAGACAAAAGGCAGAGCTGGGCCGGCAGTGGGGGGGCAGGCAAAGCAGGCGGACGCGGGAGGGGGTGGGGCACTGAGGCTGCCAGCAGATGGAGAGGATTTGCTTTGCTGAGCTGAACTCTTCAGCCAGTGAGGTTTGGGAGAACTTGGGGGGGGGGTGGGGATCATTACCCTAGTTGCCTGCTCCCCCTTCATCCCTTTCCCAGACCACCTTGGGTCTTCGCGAAGGAGGTGTTTGGTCTCAATCTCTTGGTGGCCCTAATGTAAGGACCCTGGCGCCCCTGTCTGTCTCTAAGCTGTGTCCACCTTCATTTCACACACCTCTAAGCTCACTGCAGAGGGAGAACTGGGGCTGCAGGGACTTAGGGGCTGCAAGCCATTTGTGGTGAGAAAGGTGACCTCTTTCTCCCTTTCAGGACCTGAAGGAGAAGAAGGAGAAGGTGGAGGAGAAGGCAAGCCGGAAAGAGCGAAAGAAAGAAGTGGTGGAGGTGTGGAGGCGTGGGGGGGAGGAGCACACCTGCCCCACCATCTTCCCTCCCAATCATCTTATCCTTCCACTTTCCTTCTGAGGCTGCTGGGTCCTGCCCTTCACTCCAGCCCTCCCATCTTTGCTGCCCCACCCTGAGGCCCCTCCGAAGTCCTTTTACCACCCAGTGCCCCGTCCCATTGGCAGTGATGGTGGGTGAGGCACGAAACCAGCCTGAGGTTGCTCCCTCTCCTGGTCCCCACAGGAGGAGGAGAACGGGGCTGAGGAGGAAGAAGAAGAGACTGCTGAGGATGGAGAGGAGGAAGATGAAGGGGAAGAAGAAGGTGGGGAGGGGCAGGGGGGGCCAGGCTGGCAAAATCCAGGCTCAAAGGAGCAGAGTCAGGGTGGGTTTGCAGACCTGAGGCAGGGCTGAGGGCGACCACAGGGGGTCTCTGCCGGAGCTTCCTGCCCTTCCCCAATGACCCATTTCTGGCTCCTCAGATGAGGAAGAAGAAGAAGAGGATGACGAAGGGCCCACGCTGAAGAGAGCTGCCGAAGAGGAGGTTTGGGCTGGGTTGCTGGGCCTGAGGGGCTGTCAGGGATGCAGCCGGGCCGGGCGCCCTTTGGATTTGGACCCAGGTCCCTGTGCGGCAGGGGTGGGGGCTGGAACAGGACCGGGACAGGGGGAGGTCTCCCCTCCCATTTTACAGCTCCCCCATTCTCTCCCTCTCCACAGGATGAAGCGGATCCCAAGCGGCAGAAGACAGAAAATGGGGCATCGGCGTGAGCCCCTGCCAACAGGCTGGGGGTGGGAGGCCTCTTTGGGCCTGGAGGTGGGGGTGGGGGCAGACAAGTCCAGCCACTCTTCACCTGGCTCCCTGCTCTGGGCCCTGCACCAGAGCTGCCACCCTCTTCTTTCTCCCCAGCCTTCTCATTTCCGCCTCCCAGACACTGTCCCCTCCACCCTCACTCTGCCATTGTTCCACCTCCTGACCTGCTCCATCTGAGCTCCCCAGCTGGCCCCCAATTGCTCCTCTCTCTTTGCTCTTTCTCCTTCCCCTCCCAGCCCTGTCCTTCCTCTGGTAGCCTCTCCCACCTAACCTCTGCATCCCCCAGCCTCATGGCCTGCCCCATTCCTATCCTGCCTGACCCCTGGATCTCCCTCAGATCCCCTCTTCTCAGACAGCGCCAGGCCTGGGTGGGGCCGGGGTTGGGGCCGAGCCCCACAGCTGCCCCCCTCCCCTCCCTTTTTTGTATAATTTAATAAAGAAATGGTCGCGCTTCTGTTTTTAACCTGTCTCCTGCTTTCCCGGGGATCCATTCAGTGTGATGGAAGGGTAGAGAGGGAGGAGGGTGGCTGACCTCACATTGTGCCAGGACACTTCCCTTTGATACAAAAGCAGCAGCACACTCCCACCACCCACAACTCAAGAAGACAAGATCAGCCCTTGAGGGGTGGCCTGGAGCCCAGCTCTTCTGAGAGCTGACTTATGTCCTGTTTTGGATTCTCAGGGATGCTCCTCCCCAGCAATACACACTTCCCTGCTAACCCACACAAGACCTAGACACTGCTGAGCCCAGTGGAAAGCTACCAGCTCTATTGTGCTGAACCAGGCACAGAGAAACAGCCCAGAAACAGGAAGTCCTGCCCCTGAGCTGGGAGAGGGCCGGTAGTCCTGGGTCTCAGCCTCCTAGGATCTGGAGTGAGTTGCTGGCATCAAAGATGCCCTCTGGCTGGCATGGAAGCAAGCTCCTTCCAATGAAGCAGGGAAATCCTGGACTTCGTGTCATTCCCAGGTCAGCTGTAAGTTTTTTCACCTGCCCTCCAACTCTCCCTGGGCTGGGCTAGGGAGCGGGAAGGTCAATCTCAGGCCTACCCTAGTCCCACTGCCTCTGTTTCCCCTCAGTTTGATCTTGGAGATTTCTAAGATTCTGCATTTTTCCATCTCCACATGACTCTTGTCCTCTCAGTTCGGAATCTCGATTGGGAGATGCTTCTGAGTGCATGGGGGTCTGAGCTGGAGTGGGTGGGAAGGGATGTTGACTCATCAAAAGCATCATTCCTCCCAGGAGACACCCATAACCCATCCAAGGTCAGGACTACACACCCTCATACATACACGTAGCTTTTATTTTCACACTCCCTAACTTTGGCAAATTGTTCGATCTCTTTGAGTCTCAGTTTCCTCATCTGTACAATGGGGGAAAATATTAGATTTTTTGAATTACTGTAAGTAAAGTGTCCAATACAGTGATTAACACATAATGAAGGCTCAATACAATGTAGTTATTCTCCACACCCTACAAAGCTGGCATGCTCAGCCTCAGACCTACCATCTTTTAGGGTGCAATAAAGCTTCCTGTCCACTGTGTTCCCAGGAGCCACTGTACTGATGGTGGAAAGGCAGATCTAAAGGGTCATGAAGTTCTGGGAGGTTAAGGGAAAGAGGGAGGAGATGAAGCACCAAGGAAAGAGCTTGCCAAGAAGGAAGTATGAATATTGGGGCTGAAGAGGCAGCTTAGAGATGGGCAAGGGGGCAGTTCCAGAGAGAAACAGTGCTTGGAGGCAGTCGGTCCTTGGGAGAGGGAGCAGTCTGGAGGGTAGGGCAGGGGCGATGAGGGGGAGGTGGGGAGACCCAGGTCTGAGGAAGTAAACAAGGGGAGTGCCACCACAGAAGTGGAGGGTAATGCTGCTGGGAATCAACCCCCTCAGACTTTCCACTGCGAAGTGAAACCGTGAGCCTTGGGGTGCGGGGGGCGGGCCAGGAGGAGGGGAAGTGGGGAAGGTGGAGGGAAGGCTGGGGACAGGGGTGAAGGCTGGGGGACCAGCAGAACGGCATCCCAGCCTCGTCAGCCACCTTGCTCTGTCTGCTCTCTGCCACAGCCCTGCCCTGTTCCCTGGGACCCCCACTTCCCCTCAGGTGGCCTGATCTGCCCAGCTTTCCCTGGCTTCTGGCCTCTGGTCATCCTCTCTCCAAGGCCCCTCCCAGTCTTCCTCTAGATCGCCTTCCTCCACCTCTCTCTCTGCAGAACTTCTCCTTTCCTCACCCCCCGACACCCCCTTCCTTCTCGGACCTCCGTTTGGAGGGCTCAGCGCTGCCCAGGCCATAGGAGAGATGTGGGAGGCTCAGTTCCTGGGCTTGCTGTTTCTGCAGCCACTGTGGGTGGCTCCAGGTAAAGTGGAAAGCGGGGATGGCGGGAGGGTTGCCCTTCAGCCCCACAGGAGGGGACCAGCGGGGATCTCTGTGGCCACAAAGGTCCTGCAGTCCTTAGCTCTGTGATGGATCCTTCTAATCCTTTTCTTGGGCAGTCCTACCATCCCCAAAGCCTCTCTTGGCAGAGAAGAGAGGGAAACCCAAGCTCTTTCTCCCCGGGGAAACACTCAGGCTCCTTCTCTCCCCCTGCCTCTCGGCTCACGCCCCCTCGCCTCGGCCTCTCTTTTGCTCACCTAGTGAAGCCTCCTCAGCCAGGGGCTGAGGTCTCGGAGGTATGGGCCCAGGAGGGGGCTCCTGCCCAGCTCCCCTGCAGCCCCACAATCCCCCTCCAGGATCTCAGCCTTCTTCGAAGAGGAGGGGTCACTTGGCAGCATCAACCAGACAGGTATGCACCCCAAACGGGCAACAGGACCCCTGAATCCAGCACTCACAACCCAACACCCATGCCGGTTGTCTTTCCCCTGCCCTGAGGTGTCGCTCCCTTTGAAGCCAGTGACCCAGTCTCCCTGCCCTCGCCCGCACCTTTCCTGCCCTTGTCCTGCAAACAGCGCCCCTCAGACCTGCATTCCTTCTCTCCAGAAAGGGATGGTGCCAGTGTCACAGAGGGGTCGGGGGAGGGGGGGAGTCTTGGGGCGGGTTTCCTCAGCCTCATCCCGTGGCTGCCTGCATCCTCCGGGGCTTCCAAGCCCTGGAGCTTCTCAACTCCATTCTCTTTCCTGCCCAGTGCGCCCGCTCCCGTCCCCGGCCATCCCCCGGCCCCCGGCCCTCGCCCGGCGGCGCCCTCCTCTAGGAGGCCGGGGCCCCGCCGCTACACGGTGCTGAGCGTGGCTCCCGGAGGCCTGCGCAGCGGGAGGCTGCCCCTGCAGCCCCGGGTCCAGCTGGAGGAGCGCGGCCGGCAGCGCGGGGACTTCTCGCTGTGGCTGCGCCCAGCCCGGCGCGCTGACGCCGGCGAGTACCGCGCCGCGGTGCACCTCAGGGACCGCACCCTCTCCTGCCGCCTCCGTCTGCGCGTGGGCCAGGCCTCGAGTAGGTGGGGCGGGATACCGGAGAGGGGCTGTGGAGGGGGCCCCCATTCCCCGCCGCCCGGGAGGCAGGAAGGGCTGGGGCAGAGCTGCGCGCCCTAACCCAGGAACGACAGCTTTCAGAAGAGTAGAGGAAGGGGGTGGGGGAGGCCTGCTGGAGTGAAAGGCGCCCCCCAAGCACGTGTATGGGGGGCCCTGTGGAGAGATTGTGTCACCCCCTGAGCTCACCTTCTCCCACCCACGCGGGAGTGCCCTATGGGAGGGGGGGGAGCGTGGGTCTAGAGTGATTCATTTTAGACATCTGTAGCTCAGAGGTGGGCTTCGAGGGGATTCAGGCAGGGAGAACCGGAAGGGTGGCCTATGCCAAGTAAACTCCAGGCAGGGGACAGGAGGACAGGGGAAAGATCCAGTTTATGCACCTGCAGGTGCTGGGAGCTGAGCTGGGGAGAGGGTGATCGGGAAGAGGAGAAGACAGGTCTAAAGCCGGGTCCCTGTTCCTCCGAGCGTCTAGCTTGGCAGTCCTGCTGTGTGGGGAACTTGTTTCCGGTGTGCTGCTGATCAAGTGTTCTTTATCCTTGCACAGTGACTGCCAGCCCCGCAGGGTCTCTCAGGACCTCGGACTGGGTCATTTTGAATTGTTCCTTCAGCCGCCCTGACCGCCCAGCCTCTGTGCAATGGTTCCGGGGCGGGGGCCAGGGCCGAGTCCCTGTCCAGGAGTCCCCCCATCACCACTTAGCCGAAAGCTTCCTCTTCCTGCCCCAAGTCAGCCCTATGGACTCTGGGCCCTGGGGCTGCACCCTCACCTACAGAGATGGCTTCAATGTCTCCATCGTGTACAACCTCACTGTTCTGGGTAACTACCCCACTCTGCTTCACACTTGACCACAACCCCTTCCTGCCCCCCTTTCCACCTCCCCTGACTTATGGGTCCCTAAACCAGGCTCTTGGCAGTGGCCCACGTCATTGCTGTGGGCCTCACGTTCAACCCCTTTATATCGCGTGGCAGCCTTGCAGCTCGGTCACCCCTTGGCCTTCCAGCGTCATTGCCAGCCTCCTCACTCCTTCTGGCTAAGCCCACTTGCTGGGTTTCTGACCATCCTTGGGTCATCACCTTATGCTGCTCCTTAGCACTCTTATGAGCCAGACCATCTCCTGTACTCTTCTGCCTCCCTCCCTTGCAGCCCCAGCACTCCCTCCCTCCCCATTGCAGCCCCAGCACTCCCTCCCCATTGCAGCCCCAGCACTCCCTCCCCATTGCAGCCCCAGCAGCCCCTCCCTCCCCATTGCAGCCCCAGCACTCCCTCCCTTCTGTTGCAGCCCCAGCACTCCTTCCCTCCCCATTTCAGCCCCAGCACTCCCTCCCTCCCCGTTGCAGCCCCAGCACTCCTTCCCTCCCCATT